TGTCCTCTCTACCCCGAACTTCTCAACTCAAAATAATATAAAATATTCTTGATAATTTCTTGCATGAATTAAATGATTTTAATTCATAAAGTGGCCGAAAAAATACTACATCAGGACTCCGCACGTAGAGCTATGTGCGTAGTCTAATGAAATTATGTCATGGAGGTGATCGACCCGGTAACACAATGAAATATTCCCCTCGTGTTATTCAAGTGTTATTGTGTGCTGTTCATGTGTTATTGTATATTATTTAGGTGTTATTATGTTCTGAGAATATTCCCGGCATTATAATAACACATTTGAATAACACAAAATAACACGCGAATAACACACAATAACACCTGAATAACATGAGGGGAATATTCCCTTGTGTTACCGGGCCGATCACCTCCACAGCGTAATTTCATTGGACTCCGCACGTAGTCTAAATATTTTACGGCCTCGGGATGACGGTGCTATAGTCATCTTGACTGGCTCTTTTAAAATTTATTGACTATATAAAATTAATAAATCTGAAAACATGAATTTATGCTAATAGTTTTCTGTATTGCAAGTTTTGTGGAGATAAGAAAACAGAATTTCACTTTTGATTTCCTTTGCATGTTATAGGGCGTGCTAACTCTATTTTGTAGGACGACAATAAGAAGCAAAATTTCAAGACAACAAAACCAAAACAAAACTAATTGACATGAAATCACATAAAAAAAAAAAAACAAAAACAAAAACAAAACAATTTTACACAAATTATTGAGTTGCATATATAAATAGAGCTAAATATGATAGAGAATACAAGAAAACACTAAAGATCCAACCAAAGTTTACTGATATCTAGTTTTTGTGTCAAGCATCAATGAGCCAAATGCAACTAACAAGGTCAGAACAGCCAATTATAACCAGCCCAGCCAAAATCAAGATCAGAACAAGCCAACTCTACATTTTCTTTTTTTCTTTTTTCATATTGTCTCGGAAGATCCACATACCACTCAATTCTTACACATTTACATATCTGACATCAAAAATTTAAATTTTACATGCATGCAACTTTACTCATGCATGGAAATGTGTATTTCACTTTTTAAAAGTAAAAAATAGTGACACTTTTGATATGAGATAAAAAAAATTGGGTGGTATAAATGTAAGAACTAAAGTTTAGATGTCATGTAAATACAAAGGAATTGGGATGCATGCATGTAAATGGCCCTTTCGTTTTTTTGACACCGTAGTCCAACTTGAACAGATAATTTTTTTCACCCATTGAAATAACTGCTCCAGTTATCTCTCTGCATCAAACTCAATTGCCAGTTTATTAGTCTCATTTGCAGAATTTCTCTACAGAACAGAATTTCAAGACAGTATGAAAATCAGTTTATGAATTTTTTTTTTTTTTTTTGTTTAACTCCATGAACAAGGTCCATTTTAAGCTCCAAAGGGCACAACTTTACAAACCCAACGGCTAAAAACCAGAAGGAAACAAAATGATTGAAGCAGTAGATGAACAGCATAGCAGAAAAAGCATCGCTTGATTAGCCTGCATCAAGAATAACAACAAAGAATGTAGGATGCGAGTTTAATAAGGTGCTGCAGTTAAAATATGATAAAAAGTCAATCATGTTAAGATTATTACATTGAAATCAGTGCTGCACAAGTTAAAAATGAAGAGTAAAATGAATGAAATGTGACTGAAATATGGTCAATTTAAAATATTTTAAAGTTATTTGATTGTATGTAAAATAAAACGATTTTATTATTGTGTTTGAATTGAAGCAAAATATAATATAATGCCCAATGATAGAAGTTAGTTAGCTGGCAACGACAGTTGCCGACAGCTAGGGCTTGCGAGGTGCATTTAAAAATGAACCAAATACGATGTGCTTTGAATTCACAAAAATTAAACTAAATGGTGAGTTTTGAATTCATGATAGAGTTGTAATTATGTGTGATCAAACTATTAATAGGCGTGAATCTTTTAGATATCTCAGGCCTATTATTCAAAATGGCGGTGATATAGACGGTGATGTTATTGGTAGAATTCAAGTTGGTTGGTTGAAGTGAAGGAATGTATCGGGCCGATTGTGCGATAGAAAAGTAACGCTTAGACTTAAAAGGAAAATTTTATAAAATGGTGGTGAAACCTACAATGCTTTATGGCCTAGAATGCTAGCATTTAAAAGAGAAGCATAAAATTAAGTGTTGTTGAGATGAGAATGCTTAGGTGGATGAGTGGCTTGACACTTAGAGACAATGTATAACAAATGTATTCATGAAGGGTTAGTGTATAGCTCCAGTGGCAGACAAAATTAGAAAGCGTTGTCTTCGATGGTTTGGTCACATTAAATGCCGTCATCTGATGATCTGGTTAGGAGAGTAGATGTTTTAGATTCAAGTTATCTTAATAAAGGTACAGGTAGAGCTAAAAGTACTTGAGCATATTGTATAAAAAATGATCTTAATTTATAAAAATGCCACTCAATAGGAAACAATGGAGAAAAAGGATTCATGTAGCCGATACTACTTAGGTGTGTTTGTTTCAGCTTTTTGGCCCCCATTCCAAGCCGAATCAGATTATTCGGGTGTTTGTTTTGAAATTTTCACTGCTTCGTTCCAAACAAGCTTTCTAATTTTTAATAATTCATGAGGTGTGGCTTCCCAATTTTTTTGTTTACCTTTGTATTTCTGTTTGTTTGATATAATTCAATTAAATATGATAATTACTTACATTTATAAAAATTATGAATTCTATAAAATATGAGCATAAGGTTACTTCAGATATTTATCTACAACCAACACTTTCAAAATTGAAATTTTCAAACAAAAAAATTGCTTTCGAAACATCATCTTTTGAAGAGCAAATTTTCTACAACAGCTTTTGAACTGAGATTTTGTCCAACCACAACCGAAATAAACGCACCCTTGGTGAGATAAAATTGTGCTGCTATTGTTGTTGGTTAGTTTTGAATTCATCAAAAACTTTAGATAGCATTTCTTTCTCATCCAATTAAACATCAAAATTTTGAAAACATACGCATCACTTTTGTAATAGCCTAGTAATACAAGGAAACCAAATGACCTTTAACAAAAAAAATTTTCAAATCTGATCATTGGTTTTTTGTTTCTTTTTTGATATAAGCTTTATAATTAGTTGTTAATTTAACATCAACTCCCAAACTTTTTCCTCCATTAATAAAAAAGGTTTTCAACCCAAAAAAAAATCATTTATTGATTTTTATTTTAATTTAAGCTTTACAATTAGTTGCTAATCTAACATTACATCTCAAACTTCTTCATCTTTTCATCCAAGTGAGTAGCAATGTAGTTTTCAACATGAAAAATATAAGTTCAAAACACTTGGAATCTCTCATATATAATGAATGCTCCTACTATGCTACAAAGTTACAGTACTGTCAGTGGTGGAATTAGAAGGTTTGGGGGTAGTTCTCAACCTCTGGATTTGAGAAAGTTTTATATAGTTAAGTATAACTTGACAATTTTATTCTTAAATTCTCTTGCAATAATATTTACCATAGAATCTTGCACCCATAAAATTTAGTTGAGTACTTGCATCCCTGAACATTAGAAATCTTGGTCCCACCACGAATTATATGTGTGAAGATTCAAACAATTTCGGGATACAATTCATTGCTAAGCAGCTAAAACCATATTTCAAAACTTCTATTTTTTGCATGTTATCCAGTTACAATAGATTACAAAACGATAAAAATGTGAAAATTCTACCTTAACGTTTCGAATATTGCGGTGCTTTTCTAGCCTTCTTCAGTCCAACTTTTTTCCTTTCAACAACTCGAGAATCTCTGGTGAGAAGACCTTCCTTTCTCAGAGGAGCCCGATGGTTTTCGCTAATCTTGAGCAAAGCGCGGGCAATCCCAAGAGAAATTGCCTGCGCCTGACCTGAAAGCCCGCCCCCGTGAGCTTTGATGAACACATCATAGTTGGTCTCATACCCAAGTGTGACCAAAGGGGTGCGTATGTACTGCAACCATAAAGGGTTGCCTTGAAGATATTCCTGCATATTGCAAAAAAAATGGCATTCATAATTCCAGAACTCCCCCGCCCAACCAATGTGCACATAAATGTTTCTAATGCAGCTTCCTCACAAGGGTCTGTTCATTATTAACCACTTTTGTCTTTATGGGTGACAGTTGGTTATTGATGTTGATTTTAGTCATCAAGATATTCATCCTACTTTGAAATTCTAAAATTAGAAACCAGATTAAATTTCATCATTGGCTGCAGTTAAATTAAAAGCAATGCCCAATTTCATCAGCAGTTGCAATTGTTCTTTTCAGAACATGCACGTACTACTAGGATAATATCAGTAAATAAATATTATTTATTTTCTTAATGAGGTTTTAATAAATTGGAAATTATTTAGAAAAGAGAAAACATGGAGGGTAACATTCTTCACTCTTTCATGCATTAATAAAGCACAAATGAAAACACAAATGTTGGATGGATTATAAGTGAATATTAGATAACTAGGGATAGATTAGCCACAAGGCTAGAAATATTTCTATAAATCTTGTTCAAAAAAAATTTTATAAAAATTATTTTTTATTTTGTTGAATATTTACATGATAAACTCATTTGTTTTTAGCTTCTCTTTGAGTCAATCTTACCAAAATAACTGGAGAGCAATCACCAAAAGACTGGATTATTTAGCAATAATTAATTTTTTGGTTCAATATTTATACCCTAGTAATAAATTTTAGCTTAGACATGCGTTGGGTTCTGGGCTAATTATTGCAGATGCTGTTGAAAATTTTCTATTAGTTTTTGTTTCTTTGATTAAATGTTGTTAATATCTACTGATTCAATAAAACCTTATTTTATTTATTCATGATTATTCATTTTCACTTTCATATTTTTAAATACGAATTATTTTCTCTTCAATACAGAATTGTTAACTTGTTCTTACCTGTTAAAAATTATCTTGCAAGTTAACCTTTAATTACATGAATTGATTTGAAACTCAACTTCACTTCAATGGAGAAGTTATGTGAATTGTTGAATGTAAGGTCTAAACAAGAAGAAGAAGAGGAGAGAGGAACAAGAAAAAAAAAGAGGAAAATGGAATCACAAAAAAGGGGGCAAAAGAGGCTGATCAAGTTCTCCTTTATATAATCATCACTAAAATAAGATTTAATAATCCATCCAACACTTCATTGTAAAAAATATGTGAACTGTTGAATTTGAGATATAAGCAAATAGAAGATTGATGAGAACAAAAGGAGAAATAAAGAAAAGTGGAATCCGACCAAAAAGTTGAAGTAAAACCTACCTAGTTTGCCATCATATAATCATAACTTTAATGATATTTGATAGTTGAAATTTGAGATTTATCACCAACGAAAAATTCTACAAAAATTAACATATATTTAAGCAATGAGTTCACACAAACATGGAAATAAAAATAACAAATTTCAAATCTCAAACAGAAAGATAAAAAGAGTAAAGCATAAAATCATTTAATAGTTTCAAGAGCAGTCTAAATAATTTACACCATCTAAAATAAACACAACAAAATGAAGATCAATTCAACATTTAATCAATCCAATCGCTTAAGATCTGCTTTTTGTTGCATATGAGACAGCTTATTCAAGGTTCTAAATAAAAGAAACATAATGTTGAGTAATTCATTAAACAGCAGGCCATGCTAAGATGGAAGTTTTTCATGCTTGTTTCACGGTTATATATGAGATGTAAATAGATTTATAGGCATATATAAAAAATTACAATGATATATTATTGTCGATGAAATTAGGTTTAACTCACTTATAATCTTAACCCCTAAATCCAAACAAAGAAAAGATCGGGTAATTATTTAATCTGTTAGACATAATTGTGTGGGCTGCATCAGATGAAACCATGTTGAAAGTAGCAACCGCAAAACAAAGCATAAAAGGGAAACTTTTTATCCTCTTGAACAAGCTATGTCATTATTAGTGGATTTGTTAATTGGCCGACCACTCACCCGCTCCTTACTGATGAAAAAATATATGCTTGCTGAGCAAGTTAGTGCACATTAAATAGGAGAATGCGTTGGTGATAAGAAAGGAATTAATGATTGGTGAGGTGATTTTCAGTCAAGAGAAAATTATTCAATAATCAACAAGATTAGCATTCAAATAGTAATTTGCTTGCATAAGATTATCTCACATTTAAGTAATTTATTCCAAATTTAAAAGAATTCAATTAGAACATTGCATTTGTCCATGATATGTGTGAAGCATTTCCTAATCAACAAATTAATCAATGGTTCATTAGAGGACTAGTGCATTACAATTGATAAGCCCACTATAACCTCATCCACGTTATTATTTTTATCCCAACTATTTTGGATCAACTTTATGATTCTTCATTCTCATTTCATTCCTAAATCATGTGCTAACTCTTATCTTCTGCAAATCGTGTTGCTAACTTCTCTCCATGGTAGCCTAGGCATAAGCTTTTCTGCTTCATTATTTCATAATAATTTTATTCATCAATCTTATTTGTTTATCGCCTGCCCTCTATTATAACACTCCCATCATTATGTTCACTAGTAATTACCTTATCCTCAACGATGTATGAGATATCACAAAAAAGTTCACCTGATTAGATACGAATCTCAATGAATTTTGAATGACAGCTTCCATAGCCAAATTCAAGATCAAACAAGCTCTGATTTTAATAAATTTATAGTTAAATTGAATTTCTCCATAATACAAATTCAACGAGAACAAAAGTCACTCTATCTAAAGTTTAAATGAGCACAAATCAAACATTTAAAGAATAATTAAAAACTACAAAATATTGATTGAAAGGTTAAATAATCTCCAAATTTAGTATGCTTACAATTAAATCGAGCGTCTCAACTAGAGGAATCTAAAGAGCCCAAAATCACCCAATTCTGAGTTTATTAATGTATTTAAATGCTAAAAACTAATTTATGATCAAATAAATCAACACAGACAGTTAGATATGGCCTTTTTGGAGCCAAAGAGTTGAGATCTAAGTTTTTAGTTGCAAAGAGAGCTTCTTTTTGGAGCCAAATTTAACAAAATACCATTCTAAAAAGTATCAATAGACCTCTGTTTTTCACTTGAGAGAGAAGAGCGAGTTGAGATCTAAGTTTTTAGTTGCAAAGAGAGCTTGAAGACAAGTACCACTAATTATCTTCAACCAAAACCGACAGTTGTTATAGCCTAACTACTATCATACGACTATTATTTTCTAATTACTAACTTCAAGTTGTTGTCTGATTAATAGCCCCAAGCTGTTATTGCATGACTAATATCTTAAAATTGCTATCGCCTTAGCCAATTAATGTTGTCATCTGACAATACCTATAATAACAACAGAGGGATTATCCAATTAGGTAGAAGAGTAAAACTCTGTGACAATAATCATCTGGTGGACTATTTTGATTGAAGCAAGTCCCATAAATTTTTCTTTTTAGGTTTTCCCTATTACAAATCTCATTATGTCTTATATATTCTATCCCTACGCTTGTTGCATTTTGATTAATCTAAGACTCAATTTTTCATTATTGTTGAGAATTGTCTAGCACATAACAATGTTACTCTCACCATTTCTTTAATATAACAAGTCCACACTCTTATAAACCGCAAATCCATCTTAGTAAACTTAAGCTTGCCTAATCAGTAGAATAAAATATTATTTTGAATTTCCTTTAAGACTGATTGAATCACATCCCACTCAAACAAGGTTAAACCATTTGCATTTAAGGACAGAAGTTCCAGATTTTATTTGGAACTTTGCGGACAATAATTGCTTCAATGGCCTTTTAGTTCTTCACAAATGAAGGAAAGGCACTTTTCCACTTTTGAATTTGGGATGAAGTTACTTCCAAAGAATTTTTTCGGTTGAGGCATATAGCCACTCTCTACTTGAAGACTTGCAACAATGAGCAGGCAGAGATCAGAAGATGGAAAAGAGAGAGCTGAAATTAATGCTATCAGATTTGCTTCATTACAGGAACTGGAAAATCCACTTAATACATGAGTACGATGCAGTTTATATAGTGTCGGGATGAAGATTATGGTGTTCCTAAGGTGATCTAATTTGATGAAACCGTTATAAAGGAGGTGGAAGAATGTCACCATTTGATATGATAATGAGTTGCAACTTTATCCAGAGTAGTGGAGGCCCAAGCTCTTTCGGTTTTGGCCTTTCCTTCCACTACAACAACTTCTGCATACTTATCAACTTCCCTCAAGCTGATAGCCAATCATGGACTGTAAGCTTGTTGCAAATATGTTGGAACCGAGAAACGGGAAGTGATTTGGTGAAAATATTGCTATCTAGACTTGTGAGTTTATGTGGTGAACAATAACGTCATTTGACTTGATGTTAACGTCATTTGACTTGATGTTAACGTCATTTGACTTGATGTAATCTCGAATAAAATAAAAATTAATGGCAATAAGTTTATTCTGAGAATGAAGCACTGGATTGTTTGTTAGAGCCAAAGCATAGAGATTGTAACAAAAAAAAAACGATGTACATGAAAATACATGAATACCAATATCTCGAAGAAAGCTTCTTAACCACATAATATCAGTTGTAGTAGTAGCGAGAGCTCTATACTTAGCTTCCGTAGGAGAACAAACGACAATGGATTGGTTTTTAACACCCCAGACAATGAATGTTTTACCCAGCAAAGAGCAAGTCCTAGTGATAGATTTTCGGTTTGGGGGATCTCCAGCCCAATCAAAATTAGAAAAGGATTGAAGAAAAGGGGGGATGCATATATAGGTAAGGCATAAGATAGCTTGCCCTTAATATAACATATCAGAAGCTGAAAATGTGTGGTGTGCGACTGATGTATGTATTGGCAAAGATTTTTAAAAACATATGCAATGTCAGGCCCGGTTAATATGAGGAATTGCAGAGATATCACTAAGCGTCTATAGAAGGTAGACTGCAAATATAATGGAGATTGTTCAGTTTCGGTATGGAACTTTGTAGGAAGTGGAGTTAAGGACTGATATACAGTCAAGCATACCGTCCCAATGTAGGAGCTCTTGCGCATATCAAGTTTGATTCAAATGTAGTCCATATGACGTGTGTTGCACATGTATACTCGGAAATTGGTGTATAGAATCAAAGTTTCTCATATGAAATCGATTTGGTAGCTTAACAAGAATGTCTTGACTAGCATTGTCATTAGTACCATAAATGAGTATATCATCCACGTATACAAATATATAGGTCACTATGGTAGGATTTCAATAAATCAGAAGAGAGGCATCAGCTTTACAGGTTTAAAAACCAAGTGATTGTAGAAAAGTGGTAAACGTGGCAAACCATTGGCGCAGTGCTTGTTTTAGAACCTAGAAAGCTTTTTGAAGCTTGCATACATGAGTGGGATGAAGAGGATCAACAAACCCGGATGGTTGTTTCATATAGACCAGTTCATCTAGCTGAATAAGCGAAAATGCATTTGAGATATCAAGTTGACGGATATTCCATTTATTTGAAGAAGCAATTGTGAGAAACACACAAATAAATGGAAATTTGACAATGAGACTAAAGGCTTCATTATGATCCAAACCTTTTTCTTAATTGTATCCTTGAGCCAAAGATTTTGTGGGAGCCGAGATGATGAAGAAGTTTTTGTTGTGTGGAGGGAGATAGATGCCCAAATTGAGGCCAAAGGGTGGATTTGGAGGATGAGCTGAGAAAAGCAATGTGATTTGAAGTTGATGATGCTGAAGACTTAACAGAAAAAAGTCCTTGAAGAGATGGACTTTGGGGGAGAACTTTGTTGGTCGTGAGATCATTTACAACAAAACCAAAGTTGTCAAAGATAATTGAACATGAGTTAGGTTTGGTGAGATGATGAACTAAAAACAAATTGTGAGAGATCTTTGGAACATTTAATAAGGGAGATAGATTAAGCTCAGGACTGGGAGTGAGTGATACTCTATTACTGGTGTGAGCAATAGGTAAAACATGCCCATTTCCAAGTCTAATTTGTTGGGAGCTAATGTAAGGCTGGGAATGATTTAGATAATCACTATTGGAATTAAGATGGGACATTGCCCCTAAATCTAGAATCCAATCTCTTCGGATGAAGATTGAGTAGCCATGTAAGCTCGAGGATCTAGTTGATTAGCTAGATTAGTGCGATGCCAACATCGACAGCTGAGTGTCCCACTTTAGCATATATTTCACATGTGATAGTCGTAGTAGATAGGCGGCATCCGCTATGGAGTTATAATCGAAGCGAGCGTTTTTATACGAGCCCCTGAAGGATGGTGTATTGCAGTCTCTAGTAGAGTTCCCTGATTTAGAGAATGGTTTGTCGTGTCCTTTAACCGTAGGTAGAGCAATTTGAGAGTCACCAAAAATGAAAAATGTAAGCTCTTTTGTGGCTTCAGCAACAAGGTTAACTTCTTTACTACAAAGAAGCGAATAAAAGTCAACCAAACTGATAGGCTGCATGTTTGTAAGAATGACTGTTTTAAATGCTTGATACGAATAGGGCAAGCCATTAAGAGTGTAGAGAAGAATGCCTTCCGGATCAAGAGGAGGTCCTGCTACATCAATAGCATCAACCATGTTCTTAATTTCAGAAAGATATTGAACAATGGATTAATCATTCATTAAAATATGATGCAAGTCATTTTAAGTTGTATGATCCGAGACCAATTGGAAGATTGCAAACGCCACTTTATAGTTGTCCAAATTTCCATGCAAGAGTCAAGGTTAAGAGCATAGGGCAAGAGTGAAGGTGAAATGGTGGATAAGAGAGCTGAAAATAAGCTTTGATCTACAAGCATCCAAGTGTTGTGAGAAGGATTTGGAATGAAATTACCATTCTCACTGGTAATTTGATGATCATGTTTTAAGCATGACCCATCAAGATATCTCTCAAATCCATTTGTCTTGAATAGTTTGAGGATTTGAGATCACCAAAAAAGATGATTATCGGTGGAGAGCTGAATGTTGATCATAAACCATATGTTTGAGGTTAAGAACTTGAGTTGAAAAGGGATTGAGACATTACTCATCTAGAGTTATGTGGTAGCCAATTTTAAGCTTCAAAATTGATAGAATCTGCCATAATTGGGAGAGAAGAAGAATCTAGACGAAAAAAAAAGAATATTTTAAGGAACCACAAGGTATCGCTGCTTTGATATCATGAAGACCTGCAACAACGGGCAGGCAAAGAACGGAAGATGGAAAGGGGAAAGATGAAATTAATGCTATCAGATTTGCTTCATTACAGGAATTGAAAGATCCACTTAATACATGAGTGCAGTGTGGTTTATATAGTGTGGGATGAAGGTTCAAGTGTTTCTAAGGTGGTCCTACCTGCTGAAACCATTACAAAGGAGGTGGAAGAGTGCCACCGTTTGATATGATGATGAGCTGCAACTTATCCAGAGTAGTGGAGGCCTATGCTGTTTTGGCTATGGCTTCTCCTTCCACTACAACACCTTCTACTCTTATCACTACTAACTTGAACGTAAATTGACCATAGGCAAAAGCTAAACTTCCTATTGACCAATTCTCAGCTTGAAGCACTTTTTCTACTTTTAAATCGAGCCAAATAGCCAAACATACTAATCACCCCACATCTTATTCAGATCTTCAACTTGAAAACAAAGAAACATGCCCAAAACTCTTATCATCCATCCTTCAACACAAAGTATTTATGGGCTCGAATTTAATCATATTCTTCATAGTAATCATAATCATCCAAGGTCCATGATGAATCTCTTGAATTATAATTTCAAAGTCATTCTACTCAACAAGGATCTAGCTTCATTGTTATGAGTAACTCTAGCGTAGGTAGCTATTAACCGAGCCCAATATTTACGAGGCACCAAACTGTAAAAATTCATTTTTTCTTTCATGCTACAGGGTCCATCTCATAAAGCACAACACAACTAGTCCCAGTCCCATACATGAGTGGGATGAAGAGGATCAACAAACCAAGTAGTCATAAGCTCTCTGAGCCTAAACCAAGAAGCCCAGGACATAACAAGGCTATATGCAACAACAACCATTACTTAAAATTCTCTTGTAGGCAAATAAATAAAGCTTAAATAGAAGGAAAGAATGTAGGCATATAATTGTATAAATCCTCAGGAATTATGACCTAGACATGTGGTTCTTGCCCCTTTACTATCATCTCATCCCTCTTTCATCTAGCAACACTTTCTAACTGCCAAGTTCTCAAATTGTCAATTTCGGGCATCTACAATCCCATATCTTATTTAAATCTATAATTAAAGCTAAATATACCCTAAAAAACTATGGGAACTCATATTACCATCATGTTTTCTAGAATTTAATCATATCTAGCTCTCACCTGCTAGGTCCTCATAAATTAGGCATACCAAAATTTTGATATATAAGAGAAATGTATGATAGAAATGCTATACTCCATACCCACCTCCTCCATGGCTTCAAGACCATAAAGAACACACTTTCATGGAAGATTATCTTTTTCTTTTACTTTGGTTGTGACTCATTATGTGCCATTACCAAAAGAACAAAAACATGCGCATTCCTCTGTTTCACACTTTTCTCCTCGTTATCTATTTCTCATCAAACAAGAACATGCGAGTATATAGTCTCCACCCACACAATTAAACAAGCGAAATACGCTTTCGGCTATAAGTACAACAATTCGATAAAGATGGGGCGGAGCCAAAAAACCTCATACTCAGCAGCCAGCATCAAGCGTATGAAAACAATTCAAACCTTGGCATCACGGTAATTGATGACGAACTTGCCCGTGCCCTCTTGAAGGACGACGCGAGCGATGGCGCACTTCCTCCTCCCGGTTCCGATTATCTTCTGGGCAGCGAACCCTCCAGGAAGCCTCGACTTCACGTACTTCTCCAGGCTCATTCCCTCAAGGTAGGGAACCGGAGAGATGGAGGCAGCGGCCATAGATGCGGAGGAGGCGACTGTCGCGGAGTGGGATAAGCGCTTCCGCAGAGGCGACGCATCGGAGAGGAGGCGAGATCTAGACACCGAGAGGGTCTGTGGCTTTGAGGAGATGTTAGAAGAGAAGGATAGAGCAGAGAAGGATGGGATTAGGGAGGAGAGGGCGAGCGCCATTCTCCACTTCTGCTTGCTTGCTTCTTTTTGCTTCGACTACAGTGGATACGAAATGATGGATAGTTTTTCGGAAATTTACAAAAAGAAGCACCAATTTTTTATGTATTTACCTATCTCTCTTCCAAAAAATCATTACACAGCTTATGAATAAAAATGTAAATTCTATTAACTAATAACACTACAATACAACTACAATTACATCATAATATGATAACACGAATAACACAGCTATACAATCACATTTATGTGCAGACCATTAAACTAATAACACCAAAATATTAAGGCATGAATAACACTACTGTACAACCACATTTGTATGATAATAACACTATATCATTACACTAATAACACCACAAACAATCACTTTTGTATCACAATAATACCACAATACGCCGACACTAATAATATTACCGTCAAACCACAATTTAATAACAATAACACCCTACCATTACACTAATAACACCGCAATACGAAGGCACAAATAACATCGTTGTACAACAACATCTGTGTGATAATAAAACCGAAGTGCTAAACTAATAACACCACTATACGACGACATAAATAACATCACTGTACAACCATATCCCATTGATAATAAAACCATACCAATACACTAATATACCACAACGCAACCACTTTTGTATCACAATAACACCATAATACGACGACGAGAATAACATCATTGTACAACCAAAATTGTGTGATAATAACACCGGGCCATTACACTAATAATAGCTCAATAACATCGTAATACAATGACACACATAACACCACTGTACAACCACATCCCATTGACAATAACACCAAAACAGTACAATAATAAAACCACAGTACAACTACTTTTGTATCACAATAACACCACAATATAACGACAATAACAACACCGCAATACAAACACATTTGTATAACAATAACACTATACTATTATACTAATAACACCACAATACGATGGCACAAATAACACCATTGTATAACCACATTTGTATGACAATAACACCATATCATTGCACTAATAACACCATAATACAATCACTTTTGTATCACAATAACACCACAATACAACGACCCTAATAACATCATTGTACAACTATATTTTTATAACAATAACACTATAGCATTACACTAACAATACTATAATAACACATAATAACACCATAATACGGTGGCATGAAGAACACCAATGTACAATCACATTTGTGTGACAATAAAAACAGACCATTACACTAATAAAATCATAATAACATTACAATATGATGATACGAATAACGCCACTATACAACCTTTTTCCACTGACAATAACAACATACCAATACATTAATAACACCACAATACAACCACCTTTATATCACAATAAGACCACTATACGACAACACTAATAACATCTCTATACAACCACATTTGTATGACAATAACACCATACCATTATACTAATAATACCACAGTAACACCATAATAGAATCACATGAATAACACCACTGTAAAACCACATTTATATGACAACTATATCATACCATTACACTAATATAGCCACAATACAACCACTTCTGTATCACATTAACATCGCAATACGATGACACTAATAAAATCACTGTACAAGCATTTTTTTATAACAATAACACCATACAATTAGGCTAATAACACCACAATAACACATGATAACACCACAATACGATGACATGAATAAAATCGTTGTTGAACTACATTTGTATGATAATAACATCAGATCATTACATTAATAACATCACAATAACATCGCAATAACATCACAATACGTTGTCACAAATAATATTATTGTACAACCACATCTCACAGACAATAACACCATACTAATACACTAATAACATCATAATACAACCACTTTTGTATCATAATTAAACATAATATGATGACACTAATAACACCGATGTACAACCACATTTGTATGATAATAACATCATATCAATACACTAATAACACCACAATACTACAACACAAATAATACCACTACACCACATATGTATGACAATAAAACCATACAATTACACTAATAAAACCACAATACAACTACTCTTGTATCATAGTAACACCACAATATGACAACACTAATAACATCAATGTACAACCACATTTTTATAACAATAACACCATACTATTACACTAATAACACCATAATACAACAACACGAATAACACTGATGTACAACCACATTTGTATAACAATAAAACTAAACTAATACACTAATAACAACACAATAACACCACAATAACATCACAATACGAAGACATGAATAACAACAATGTACAACCACTTCCAACTGACAATAACATCATACAAATACATTAATAATACTATAGTACAACCAATTTTTTATCACAATAACACCACAACACGATGACACAAATAACAACGTTGTACAATCACATTTGTATGACAATAACACCATACCATTACACAAATAATATTACAATAACACCACAATATAACAACAAGAATAACACTGATACACCAAAAATATATGCATATTTCAAACTTATTTTTGGTGATATTACACTTTAATGGAATGTATTTTTATGTTTTCTTGTAGGTTGTTGAATTTTAGGACTTGAAGCAGAAAGGAAGCAAAAAGGAAAGGAAGCTAGGACTTGAAGCAGAAAGGAAGCAAAAAGGATGAAATTTGGAGTCAAAATGGCATTTTTGAGAAATACTAAGCGCCAATGGCGCCAAGAACAGCGCCGACGGCGCAGACCAACAGAACAGATGGCGTCGTTTGACAGAGATCAACCAATTAATGAAATGAACACTAGTGTCAACAACGCCAATGTCGGTTCAGCCCCTGTTTCTAGAAGATTTGACAAATTTGGACCCTTTTTGAAGAGTTTTTGGAGGCACCTATTAGAGAATCGACTCTAAGCTTTATTTGGAGCCAAAATTGATCATAAAAGTGACTCTTCCTGACATCTCATCGCTCCAATTCAACCTTCCATGCATACACATTCTTCCATTTTTCATTCCACTACCATTTAGAGTTCATTGTTCTTATAATTTAGAGTTTTGTGGTGAGATTAAGTGTGAAATCTTCTCTAAGAGTGTTGGAGTAGAGAAAAGTGAGAGATTTCTTCTTCCTATATTTCCTAGAAGAGGCTACAAGGGATTTGCTTTGAGAAAGAATTTCGGATAAGTGTTGTTTGTTTATTAGTGTTGTATGAACTTTCTTTTACATATGAAATTTGTGTTTTGTTGTATCTTTCTCATGAAGTCTGAGTAGTTTACTTTATCTTTTTCCCTACTCTGAGATATGGTGAAATAAAGAGATTATATGGATGTGCCAATATTAAAATATAAAAAAAAATTGTGATGATTTTTCAACTCTGAACTTAATTTACTTTTTGATCTGGTCAATTGAATTGTTAAAATATGTTGTGAAACATATGATCCAGGAAATGGAGTATGAGTTCTACAATAGAGTGAGGATCACATTTGATTCCGTGAAGGAGAATTTTATTCGTGGAATTAAGTGTAAATAAATAGGAAAATATACTTTGTTGGGTGTAGAATTAGTGAATCTTTAGGGTGACAGACTAAAATCTCCAATTCGGTCTTAGTTTTTAAAAACTAAAGCGAGAGTTAGCTGTCAGGTGAAGGGAAGTAAGAGCTCTGGAGTGGGAACTAATAACCTCCTAGCCTAGCCACGGATTTAGGAACTAAACCTGGGATTAACCAATGATTTTCTATAACACTGTATCAAGGTAGAGAATTAAAACTGCTGTTATTTGGCACAATACATATTATAACCATTTATCTTATCTCATTTCACCAAAACCTCATTGTAGTGGGAAATATGCATTTTCACATAAGAAATCTTCATCACATAAATATAGTTTAATAGTTTAGTAGTTATTGTTTAAACTTTGTATTTAAGTTTTGTTATTAGTTAAATAATTTAGTTCTAATAATATCTCAACATTTGAAATTAGTGACATAATTTTGTTTTGACTTTCTGTGAATTTCCTAGTAAATTTATCATTTCGAATTTAAATCTTCCCCGTAAGATCAATATTTGGGGCTTAAATAGAAAGCCCTTTATTATTTGATAACGATACGTATACTTGCGTAGAATCCCAACATTAATTGCTTAAATTTCTAATTCATAAAATATTGCATCAAGCTTTTGGCACCGTTGCATAGCGGGGTCAAATATATAATTTTTACACAATTATATTTCGTCGGGATCAGACACCACTGTAGTACCACATTTGTATGAAAACAACACCATATCATTACACTAATAACATCACATTATATCCACTTGTATCACAATAAAACCACAATACAGTGACACTAATAACACCATTGTACAATCACATTTTTATAACAGTAAAACCATACCATTACACTAATAACATCGCAATAATAAATAATAAAACCACAATACAACGACATGAATGACATTGTTGGACAACCACATTTGTGTGATAATAATATTGGACCATTATACTAATAATATCATAATAACACCACAGCAATACCACAATAAGATCATAATATGACGACACAAATAACACCATTGTATAATTACATCCCACTGACAATAACACCATAAAAATACACTAATAACACCATAATACAACCACTTTTGTATCAAAATAACACCACAATACGATGACACTAATAACACCCCGTACAACCACATTTGAATGACAATAACACCATACCATTACACTAATAAAACCACAATAACACTACAACTTCAGAAACTTGATCCAACCCAACGATTATCACAATAATGTAAGTCATGGTAATGAAAACAAAAACTTGATGCATTTCTTAGCAAATTAATTATGTTCTTAAATTTTGGTATAATTACTCACTGGGATTTCTCACACAAGTACACATATCATTTTAGTAATATAGGGCTCTATTGAGTCTGGATTGTTGATCCCACAAGGAAGAAGGTAACGAGCGCCTTAGGCGAAGATCTAGTTTAATATGCTAAGGTCTTAGTTTGGAATGCAAATTATAATGGCTCTTTTAACAATTACTCCTAAAATACAACACTAAGTTTAAAGCTAAACCTAACTATATCAATTGGTTTGGTGAATTTCAAGATATAAAAGCTACCTTTCTCTTGTGATAGCCTAAGTAGATTGTAGGATAGAATACTAAGAACTAATAATATAGCTAGTGACAAATAGGAACATAAATCTTATTTACACTCTTTGTATGTAAAAGTTTGGTTAACGTAATTCTAATTCCTTAAACCTTAGATTGAAGCCATCAAATCCTATTTTCCTATCTATTTGTATTGCCTCCAGACTACTTCACCACAGCTTATCAAACAATGTAAATACTCTAGTTGTTCTTCCACCACTCTTTCAAATCTTAAGGTATCACAATGAATTTTAACAATTCATATGACCGGCACAAAAAAGTAAATGAAGCATAGAAGAATACTCATCACAATGATATTAAAATCTAATTTTAAGACATTCAACACATATTTAAAATCCCACATATTTATGACTAGAGAAAAGTAAAGTAAATCTACTCACGAAGCATTAATATTACAATAGAAATCATCATCTTTTAACAAAATAAATTCACTAAATATGTGTTTACAATAATTCCTAGATAAATGGAAACACGATACTTAGATTTTCTCCGCTGAAAAGAGTTGAAAAGTTTCTCCAACAATGAATCCAAGTGCTCCCTGTAATGATGCAATGCTTCCCTTAAAGATTTATCTTTAAACCCCTCACCAATCTCTCAAAAAAATGGAAATTAACAAACCCTAGATCTCCCTATGACTCCTTGTATTCTCTTCACTTCTCCTCCCACTTCAAAATGCTTCAATCCCTCTAAAAATCACCTTTTAAACAGCTTAAAAACCACCACAAAACTCCCCAAGTTGCGGTGAAGCAACTGCAGAAAAACGGTTGTGCCTTGGTGCCTGGAAGTTAGCGCCTATGCACCGATCACTTAGGTTATTGCACTGATTCTAGAGCCTAGGTGTCGATAAGTTAGCACCAAGGCGCTTGGATGGAGTGCCTTAAAGCCTAGAGACTTGCGTCTAGGCGCCCTGCTTGTTGGTTCCAATATGCTCCATTCAGCTTTTTTTGCTTCTTTTCAACTCTGCGTTGCACTATGTGTCCTACCTGCAAGAAAAACATAATAATATCATTCTTTAAAGTGCAGTTTCATCAAAAAAATAAGTATAAAAGATAAAGGAAGTTAAGCATGCTTTAAGACACATCAAAATCTCCCAAACTTAAACGTTACTTGTCCTCAAGCAACACCGATACAAGAAAATAAAATATTCTTTTAAGAATTTATTTTATGCTTATTTTTGGTGATATTACTTTTTAAAGAAGAGTATTTTCATGTTTTTGTTGTATGTATATCATTTTTAGGTGTTTGGAGCAAAAATGACAAAAATAATGAAATTTGGAGCTAAAACCGCGAATTTTGGAATTATGGTGCATGATGCGCCAGTTCGGCGCATGATGCGTCGTTTGACAAAAAATTGGCGCATGATGCGTCAGAGACAACTTTTACAAATTAAGATAGTTTGAGATGAATTTTGCGCAATTTTCAAAGGGACAGTTGTTCTATACACCTATTGGAGTAATTCAATGCATCTAGACACTTTGGAAGGTGCTTTTATGAAGGGATATATCTCTTGGATATCTCTTGGATCAAATGACTTGGATCAAATGACACATCTTTTGAATTCAAAAGAGTTGAATTTTGGAGGGAATTTTGAATTCTTTTTCAAAGGAGGCAGCCCAAAATGAAAGAGGAGGACTTCTCATTTTGTGGGAGAGTGGAAAGAGAGACGAAAAAGAGAGAGAGAGAAAGTTAGCGTGAAAGGCAAGAGGAGATTTTCTTCTAGGGTTGTAAGAGGAGAGGGAAGGTGAGAGATTTCTTCTTCATTACACTTCTAAGAGAGAATTAAGTGGGTTTATAAAGAGAGAAAGGCTTGAAGAGAACTTCTAGGGATTTGCTTGGGAAGGATTGTGAGATAAATTGTATTTTTATTTCTTTTGTTTTGTAAACTTATTTTTATATATGAAATCTGTGTTTTGTCGTATCATTCTCATGAATTTTGAGTAGTCTTATTTATCCTTCTCCCTACTTTAAGATATGATTTTGTGAAGAATTCATTTTTTTTCTACAGTTTTAAATGTTAACAATTTATGATGATTTGAACTCCGATCTTCATTTACTTTTCGATCTGACCAATTGAAATGTTAAAACTTGTTGAGAGACCTATGTTCTAAAAAAGAATATGATTTCTACAACATAAGGAGAATCACATTTAATTTCACGGGAGAGTATGTCATATATGGGATTGAATGCAAATAAATAGGGAAATATACTTTATTGGAATGCAGAATTAGAGATTTTAAGGTGACAAATTAAAATCCCCAATTTGGTCCAGTTGATTGGAAACTAATGCGAGATTGTTAGCCCTCAGGTGATAGCCCTCATTGTTAGCCCTCAGGTGAGGGAGTAGTGGGAGTTCTGGAGTGGCAGTCGGTATCCTCCCAGCATAATGATCCTGATTTTCTATATAGATAGATGTAAAATGTGATGTATGCGATTAATTTCCTTAATAGATATTCTTAATTTGCAACAAAGCCCAAAATTTGATCCTAAACAAAAGATAGGTCAATTTTCATTATGAAGCAAATAAGAATGTAGTTTTTATTTTTACTATGGGATACCACACAAGTATATGTATCGTTATCAAGTAATATAGAATTTTCTGATTAAGTCCTGAATATCGAACCCACAGAGAGAACTAGATTTAGATAACAAAATTTTACTTAGCAATATATTCTTACATAAACTTAAGATGGTAAATTAGGAATGAAAGTTCAATTTTTTTTATAATTTTTGATAATTTGAAAATAAAGTAAGCAACTAATTAACTTAACTAAAATACTTGCAAGATGAAGACAATATAAATAAATTATTTTTTTCCTTATCATGAGCTACATGTAAAAAATTTTGTTGTGGAAGTATGTTAAATGTGTTGTGTCAAATAGAAGAAATAAAATTCCTTACCCTTTCTAAAGATGCTATAAAGAACATTGACTAATCTATAGTTTGAATAGTCTTGAAGACCGGCTAGGCAGGGAAGATACGAGCTCTCACTCTAGAGTTCCCTCTTCTCTCCACCTGGGGGCTAACATCTCCTATCAAAACCTAAAACTATAAATCAAATTGGGGGCTTTAGTCTGTCACTCTAAATTCATCTAATTCTACATCATTGAAAAATTTATTTCTCTAATTATTTGCACTCAGCCCCATGAACTACATTCTCATTCATGAGATCAATATGTGATTCCAATCATCTGTTGACTGAGACAATACCATCTTGGATCTTACATGTTCTCACAACAGGCATTAACATCTTAATTGGCCAAATCAAGAAGTAAATGAAGTGCAAGGTTTTAAATCATCACAACTTCTTCTAACATTGAAGTCTAATACTCCACACAACTTCCTTTAAATATTTAACCACTTATCATTTTTAAGGAAAAATATAATAAAAACTAATTAGAATCCATGGATAAAACACAACCACACATGAGTTTAAAAGTAGAAACCATGCGCAAAAACAAGAAATCTAAATTAAAACCAAGTGTAGACACAAAGATAAACATTTATCTCAAATTATCTCCCCCAAATGCCTTGAAGTTCCTTTGAATTATCTTGCTTCTCTCACAATACAAACTAACACTCAAAATAAAATAAAATAAAGTAAAGGTGGTCGGCGGCGGCGGCGATGGGCGGTGACACCAATGGACTGTGAAGTTTGATGAATGGCTGGCCTCTAGCAGTTTGTCTTGATAATCCAAGTCTTTTCTTATAAAAATCCAAGGGGTGCCTTGGTGTCTCTTCAAAAAGGTGTCTCCATTCAATTAATTGTCTAGAGTCTAGAAGTTGTCTCCACATAAGTCAATTGAATGAATTTTTGTGTCCATGGACTATTTCCCACTTTTTTATCAAGGGTTGCTTCAAAAACCTCTTCAAAATTCCGCTCAATTTAAATAATTCATCAAGTAACTACTTCTGGCGCTTAGGAGTGAGGTACTTCGCGCTTAGGTGGGGCCTTCTCGGTTTTACTGGCACGTAAGCACCAGCTTTGGGCGCTTAGGCACCACAGTTCTTTTGCAAACCTTCTTCATTTTTGCTCCAAATTTAATCATTTTCACTCCTTTCACCATTTTTCATTCATTTAATTGTACCTGAAAAAAAAAACACAGAAAATATTATATTTTTTAGGTGTATCAAAATCCCCCAAACTTAAGATGTTACTTGTCCTC